GATACTCCATCTGCCCCGGCGAGCATGGGGGGAGTCCCTAGTGTGCTCAGCAGCAGACCCAGAAGTGGACCAGAAGCACTTCCGATCCAGTTTTGGGTTCTCCGCCAAGCACTCATGGGGCCCCCCCCCACACTCCTATAGGATGCCCTATCCAGCCCACCATCACAATATTCATGAGCCATGCCTAGTACCTTGAGGTATGTAGAAAAAACATTTAAAGTTCTGTCTACGGTCAAATCACTGATTCTCCGAATCTTCAGATTCGGCCAAATCGAATCGGGGACAGCAATCTGAATCAAATCACTGTCCCCGATTTGGGCCATATCCAAATCTGAATTGAATACAACCTGTTTCACACACCCCTATTATCTATGTAATCATTTGCTTCTCAACATGGGACAGCTCTAACTACTATGCGTAGGTCAATATTTCTGACCTATATTAAACATTTGAAAGAAACTTGTTTCTGTGTTACAAAGTACACACTGAAATTATTTTTCTTTAGATGCTGTATTGAAAGCTCAGCTAAGTCAGCCATGAAGGTTGCACATCTAAGCCATACAGTTTGACTAAAGGTGGAAGAAAACTGAATTTCACAAGTGGCAACAAACTGAAAAGCATACATTTAAACTGAGACACATGTTGCTTTGACAACAGACATATCCAGCTCCAAAACAGAATTATGTAGGAAAGAGACAAGGCCACAACTTGAGTGGTGCATGTTACCTGATAAATAAGAAAGAGGGAGCATTTCAGGAAGAAGAGGAAAACATTAACAATATGTATTTAGGACTGGAGAGACAACTTTGAGACCTGACTGTATAAATATCAGCTCTTAAAAAGTTGTGTGCATTTGTGTACACACACACACACACACCCCGTCCAGGATACTCCAGAAACCAGATAAGTGGCCTAGACCTACTGGTTTAATTGAAGAGGGAAATGGAGGCAGAAATGAACACATATGAAAAATATCATCCCTTCATAAGAAGCCTATGTACTGAAATGGAGGGAAAAGAGACTGAGTGGTGTTCTTTGCCAAATGACAATGGGTTTCATGACTTATAGGGCAGTCTCCCATTTGAAACAGATACTAGTCACGTATCTTCTGAGGCTTTTTCCATCACTTTTTACACTGTCATAGAGGGTACCCTGCATAAGCACACAAGCATTGGACTGAAAAACAGCTCGAGACATGCTAGCAAGCAATACTTATTAAGTACACTGGATTGTCAGTACTGTGGTATTAGCAGGCCCAAAAATCTAACTAGCTTCCATCGAGACTTCTGTGGCTGCTATTAGGAATCTTGCAAGTAAGGGAAGCTAGTCAATAACATGGCTAAAATTTGCAGCCATGACAATAAAGGAGAGAGGGCAGCCTGACACGGACTATAGCAGGGGTGGGCAAATATTTCAGGTGGAGGCCCGCTTACTGAGTTTTGGCAAGCCATCAAGGGCCACATAAATATTAATTTTCTAAACACTTCAGGGGCCCTGCGGGCTGGATAGAATGGCCTGGTAGGCCACATCCAGCCTGTGGGCCACATTTTGCCCACCCCTGGACTATAGGCTCTTTCAATTCTAAGGCTCCTGGTAGCAGCCCCCGGACAGCTGCTTCCCCTTCAGCCTTACTGGCCCCAGTTACCATGCAACTAAGCGGCAGACAATCAATTTAAAACTTTATTAGTGAATGTTAAAAAAATCATAGTTATTTACATGGCTTTGTAGAGATTAAAGAGAATGTAGGACCCTATTCCTGGTAGCTACATGGGACATAGATTGTATCAGGATATGCCAACTAAGACATGCAGTTGATCACACAGCCAACGTGAGCCTGAGTATAATGGGTTAAGAAGTTCCAATGCCCTGGTGTAATAGGAAGAGAGCTAAGACCCCACACACAGTCACTGTACTAGTACAAAGTTGCAAGGTGGCTGGACATTGAGACCGTGGATTTAGCCTGCAGTGCATAACTGCCAAACAGCAGGGCCCAAAGATGCCAGGCACTTCAGTTAAAGCAGCGGTCTTCCATAGATGAGAGACACTCTCAGAAGATACCAGCTTCCCTTTCCCTCGGTTTTGGCTGAGGAAAATAAGGCAATTCTTCCCCTGCAGATACCTCAGAAAGACCAGAGCTGGGCAGAATGCTTGCAACACCAGGAATCCCTATGTGAAGTCTTGGGGTTTATCTTGTAAGGCATAGCTAGCTGTGCTAGTCTCCTTATATTCTGCTTTCCACACATCCTGTCACAGCATCTGATGAAATAAACTACAGCTCATGAAAGTGTGTGATATAATCTCCCAACCACATGCGATACACCACACACCCCATGGCTGAGAGACTGCAGCTCACGACAGACTTGCACATACATACAACAGCAGATATGACAGAGGGGAAGGGGTAGTGGCAGTGCACTTGAACTCCTTCTTGACTGCTGCTCAACCCAAAGTTTCAATCGAAGTGCCTGGCAGTGATAGAAGGATTTCTATTCAGGCAGCAGTGAGGGAGTCACTTGATTTCACAACTCATTATAATTACTTGATTCTTTCTAAACTCTTTATTCCACAGGTGTTAACAACCTTATCTTTTTAATGGCCTTAAATGTTCCACTAATCAAGCTATTATTTCTTACACAATTCTTCTGTCTGCTAGCTATTTCTAGTAGTGTAGCTCCTACTCCACAACCCTGCAGACTCTTTTTAACTCTAGCTGAAAACATTAAACTCCAGTGCGGAAATAACTTTTGGGGACCTACTACAAGTGCAGGTAAAGGCATGATGGATGGGATCTAATGCAAGATTTACACAATGATGCCTCCTGCCATAACACACATGCATGGCAGAAGGCATGACTGTGGATTGGAAATCAGATCCCACAATTGTTGGTATAGAGGGAAGCACAATTCTGGACTCGCCGTGCACCAGCAAGAAGCAAGTTCTGACAGCAGCTGGCAGGCCTCCCAGTCACAGAGATGCACCACACACCCAACCTGGCCCCACTCCTCCAGCTGGGAGACCACAGCCCATGTTCACCCCAATCAGCTGATGGGGCTCCCAGCCACAGGGGCCCTTAGCCACACATTCAGTTCATGGCATGAAAGGAAGCAGCCACAAAAGTTATTACACATTTTGTGGGATAGAGGTTTTAGCTGCGATAGTCAAAGAACACAATACAAGCAGTCAGCATGCAAGAGGCAATATCTTTTATTAGACCAACTAGACAGTTGCAAAAAAACAAAGAACAAAAAAAACCAACAACAACAAAAAACAAACAAACAGCAAAATCTCTTCATTTGCAAGCTTTTGGACACATGCACCCTTCCTCAGGCATAGGAGAATGCAAAGACGTATTCATGACATTTTCTGGAATAGTTTATTCCTCTTTTCATCACACCACTTATTGATTGAACTTGCAGCCAGGTGAGCACTCAAGGCATCATTAACCGGTTAATTACACCTGAAGTGTAGTGTAACGTGCAGCTCAGTCCTTAGTGAAGCATTGGCTGTACTGTCAAGACGCTCAAGGCAGCTTGACCTGATTTTACAAATCTGAAAGAGTGCATTCAATCCTCATGACCACAAGCCTAAGGAAACAACATCTTTTGACTATTTTTGTTTGTTTGTTTTTGCCTAGCACATCACATTTCTTAATACAGAACATGCAACAAAGACAATCAATACCTGAATTTGCTTTCACTTGCAGTAAAGTGAAGAAGGCAGCGCTAGGTCTCTCCTTGCCCCCAGCAAAATGTCTAATTTCTTTTTTACCTGGAGAAAAATCTGTGTGGCGTTATAGCCCCCTGCTATCTGTCCCCACTTTGCAAAATCCTAGATCGGCCTGCAGGTGAACACATGCACACGCTAGTTCGTTTCTAAGGTGCAATTCTACCCCGCCTTCATCTTATGATCCACGTGTGCCCACCCTGCAGCCCTACCAGTACACAGTCCCCCTGGGAAGGGGGATCAGGGCACCCCAGCCTGACTGAGCGCACCCAGGATAGAGCCCACAAGCTATGCAATGGGCTCAGGCACGGGGCAGCCTGGTGCCACAAAGGGAACTGGACTGCACTGGCTCTTTTCATGCCCAAGGGGAAACCTGGCAGGTACCAAGAGGCATGTGTGGGGTGGGGGGCACACAGCTTCCTGCAGAGTGCTGGCCAGCATTGCCAGGTCTTAAGTGTGAAGTTATTGATTTGGAAGCTCAAAATTATTGTATTTGCTGAAAAATTATCACATGCTTTCTATACACACACACACCCCTTTTTATTTACTTCCTATTCCTCACTGCAACTCGAATGAGTGAGTCTAAGTTGAAGAATTCCTGTATTTGAAGGCAAGTAGTCATAAGGAAGTGCTGACAGCAAAACCAAGAGCCAGTTAAGGCTCCCTGGGAATGACTTGGGTTGTGCACGAGGCATCAATTACCTGCCTCAAAACTTCCGTACATTTTGAACACTTTTACTATTACTGGTCGCACATCTGACAAGGGTTGACATTATCGTATAACTACGGTAGCGATGGTACGCCTAGCGCACGCGCAGATCGCGGCTCCACCCCTGCAACGCGAGGCCACGCCCAGGACAAGCCGCCGCTCAGAACGGCTCGCTGCCCAACCGCGCCCCCCC